ACGAGAAATTCTATAAAATCCGGGAAGTTTTAGCTTTTCGAGGATTTGCTCTGCAGTGTTCTCGAATACTTTTCACTATGGATCAATTTTTTTGTGTATTAACTTTGCTCTTTTAATTGAATTTTTCTGAAATAAGAGACATCGCTGGGCTCGCTGACGTTAATCCGGCAACCTCCACACTAAGAATTATCAAGAAAGAGAGAACAAATCCTTTGGTCTTCGGCACTTGTTCATCTGTCATGCATTAATTGGTACAACACCGGGACATCTTCTTTACCTGACCTGAGAAAGGAGAGGAGGTGAGAGAGAGGGATGCTCAAAGATAGGTGCCATCGTTAATTAAGACTCAGATCTCCTACGCAGCACCTTGGCGGCAAAGTTGCAAAGTTGCCGAAGTGGTGTTTTCAATGGAAAGTCCATGTAAATATTTAGCCAAACGGTTAAGATTTTACTAAAATGGATGTACTTCTGTCAAACGGAACTATGTGCATCAAGACATGAGCCCTGAGACCCATAAGAATTTGTGCATAACAGGGCTCACGTCATAATAATACACATAGTTCCGTTTGATAGGAATAGTCCAATTGAAGGAGGACCCTGAGCCGATTGGAATAGAGTATTGGAGCATAACAAAATAATAGGAACAGAACGTAGAATACAGAAGGGAATCTCAAGCTTCCTCGGGTAAACTTTTAGTATTTTTGGGAGATTTAGCAGCACTCATAAATACTCACGCCTGATCGCGGTTTTTGTTTAATTTTCGCGGTTTTGCGAACAAATCTACCATGTCATTAAACGAAATCCATCAGTTCTGCTACAATAATTAATTCTCTAGGATTATTTTGCCCTCGGCCGAACGGTAAATCTTAAAGTTAGTTTCTTCACCACGGTGGGCGAAATATAGAAGCAATTACCAACATTTTTAGTTTTTACACCAGCACCAGGGATTATCGGGAATCGAAAAGTCTCCGTATACATGCGTATAGTGATTGCGGTATGCTCCAAGTAATTTTAATGACTGTTATTGACACATGCAAAACATGTTCGTCAATTTTATGGTTCGGTGCCAATTTGAGTTTTCCTGTGATGCCACGGTGAACAATTTTTTACAACGCGCGGTAATTGGCCGCATGACTACTGGAAATACGGCAAAATTACCAGAAATTGAAGAATTGATTTCTGGGAAAAGCAGTAATTTGACAGTTTTTTTACGGAGCAACTTGGCAACAATCCGGTTCGCGGCTTCCCCGTGTCGCTCGTCGGTAATTATTTTACACGTGTTTTATCTAATTGTCAACTTTAAATTTCTCGATCAGTAACACGATTACCTGCTACGTGGAGGAAATGCGTGATGAGTCGATGAGCCTGGGAAAGGGGGGGGGGCTGGCCGATTTTCCAGTTTTACCATACCGGCCGGCGCTAGACCCGATTTATGTAAGAAAGTCTAATTTTTCACGTTAATCCCACTCGAGGTGGATGCAAATGAGCGAACGGACTGGATCCGGAGTCCGGGCCTGTTCTCTGTCCGTTTGGCGCGTGGGTCAATCAATCAGGTAACTGGTTGTTTCATCCACACTCAGAAACAGTGTTCGAAACTCATTTTTGTGTTTCAGGGGCCATGTGGCGCATCAAGCTCGATTTCTAGGGACCATTGAAGATTTTTTAGGGGCCAAATTGACTTTTTGCCTTCATACCACGGCGCATTTATTGATAAGTTAGACTCAAGATGTATTAATTACAGAACTAGTAACTGTAACTTGGGGGAAATTTTGAAAAATCAAAAAACAGAAAAATCAGGATTTTTTTCGGCAGGGGGGGGGTGGTCAATTTTTAGGGGCCATGTTGGCGCAGAGCCCTCTTTTTTTAGGTGCCATGACTGATTTCTTAGGCACACTTGGCGAGTTGGCGCATGTGAGTTTCGAACACTGCCCAGGAACCAAAATGCCTTTTGAAACCATTGCTTTCCTTGGAGTTCCAAGGTGTGCCATTGTATGCAACTACTGCATTTAGAGTATTAAAAAGAGTTAGACAAATTCATACCAATTCTTTCCAGGCAGGACCTGCTGCCCCCCCCCCTCAGAATGAGACAGGAGTATTATAGCCATACACGATTTGTTCTGAGAGAGAGGAGAATTTGGAAGTCGTAATTCGTTGAGTAACTTTGGAATTGTTAATTTTGGAAAAAACTTGAAACTCAATTAACTTCTGTCGAATGGTCTCAGGGTTTAAATTTCCCGAAAAAAAGAAAATCTAACAGTTCTTCTGTTTAGAGATTCTATTATCATTTAATTTAATATATCGTCGCTTGGCTGACAAAAGGGTGTAACCATAATTTGAGATGAGCCCGAGAAAGCATTGGGGTTGTGCATGGACAAAAGGGTTCATCCGCAAGTGTAGTTACGCCCTTATGTCAGGAGGGCGACGATATTGAACCTAAAATCCATTTCATCAATACGGACAACAGTGTTTTTAAATTTTTTTTTTACACAAGGATGTATAATTCAAGTGGATCGAAATTCATAGGAAGTTTCGAAAAAAACAAATCATTTTTTAAATTAAAGTCGTGTGCTATTTTTTTGAGTAATGCTTGACACTTGTTCAAATATGTTTTTACATAGTGACCGCTTGGAGACATTTAGATCCTTGCAAGTCAAACAGTTTTCAGAGTGCCGATGGAATATGAATATTTTCTCAAAATAAATTTTGAATCATGACAGTGATGGACAAATTCTCATTGTGGAAAGTAGGGCACCGGCATAGTACATCAACATATACCCTATGATCAAACAGCTATGAATGTTATTACTGTCCTAATGATTTCTGAGCGTCTTCGAGATCATTATAACAGTCAAATGAGTAGAAAATCTCCACTATAACGAGGAACGATCAAAATTATTAAAACAGGACACTTGTTCGAAAAATGGTGAAATTATATAGATTCAAATCCGTAAAACAATCAAAGAAACCAGTTATATGAATATAGATTTGAACGTCGAAACTCTTAAAGCAGAGCCAAAAAGCGTGATAAAAGACTATTAGAGACGAAAACCAGAGCAAACTAGTCTAGACGCCTGCAAGCATCGTCGGAGTGGGACAAATTATAATAATAAAAAATTGAGTCCGAGTTAGCAAAGAAATTAAAACGATCACTTTACAGCTAATCATTGAGTTTATTCCAGTAAAGTACCTGTCTTTGTTCAAACCTATAATTGCTCATAAAGAACCTGGGTAATTATTTACCATACCGGCTACGGATTCTCCCACAATTATACTTCCCTGTTTCCCCCGAAAAATCCCTTGAGGTATGGAAAGCCCTTGAAGCATCAATTCCGATCATCCGAGCGACGGCTGCCTCTCACGCTAGCTTCGATTTTGATCGATTCCTCTGTTGCCGATTCGGGCCGAAAACCCTAGTTTTTCACCGTGGTTTCGGGTGCCTCTACGGAGGGACCATGCAACCAAGGCTAGGTTCTCGATTCTGTATGCCCGAGGATATTGGTTCGGATAAATTTTCACTTACCAATTAGACATAACTCGAGCAATTACAGAGCTGGCGGTCCTAATCGTTGCGGTTCGTCTGTGATTAGGCGCGGCGCGCGGCGGCACTACGGCGGCGGCGCGGCCGGCTTTTGGCGTGCCCCGCAACCGGTATGGGTCCCGCAGCTTCTAGCCTACCCGCCGTTGCCATTTTCGCCCTCCGCCCAACTGAATCGAATCAACTTGATCCCTCATGAAACCTTTTTATTTCTCTTTAAACACTTTCTGCTCTTGGTATGTATGTATGTATGTATGTATGTATGAAGCCACTTTTATAGCGCTCTCTGGCGCTCTGCGACACCTAGCTGCCAAAGTTCCCTATCCTCCCAAAGCCCCTCAGGGAGTTGGCAAACCCTCATTTCTTCCAAAACCCCCTGTCGCCACCCTTTCACTGGGCGTCCCCTTCGTCTTGGTACTTTTCATTTTTGGGCTTGCCTCCCCTCCAACAAGAAGTATAAAATTTACTCTTCGCGGGCTTTGACAGAAATGGTGTCCTCGTGCGGAAGCGAAATTTAGTTCAAGCTGAATGGAGCTTCAAGTTCTCATATTATCATTATAATGTTCATTGTACGCTTACATTGCATTATGTATTTTACAGAATTATTTTACACTAGCTGCTCCGGGCGCCCTACGGGCGCCCTCCACAGCTAGCAATGGTGGTGCAGTAGCTTATTTGGAATCGGAGCGATTAGTTGAATCTATTTAATAATGATGATGATTCTGCGGCAGAAGATCAAGGAATTTAACTGCCTCTCTGCGTTACAGGGTGGAGACTGCCATTCTACCGAAAAATGTTATAAAAAGCTCGCATTATTATTTATTTTTTTTGTGTTATTTTTTAATTTTTTTAATTTTTATTTTTTGATAATTTTCTAATGACTATGAGGCTTTTGGGATTTATAAAAGATCGAAGCACCTCTTTGTGCACGATGTTTTTTGTACGGTTGCCTTTGGGAAGAATTTGGACTTCAAAATTTTTGTACGATATAGCTCGTGAGAGTGCAACATATAGTTGACCATGGCCA